ACCTCCAGTGCAGAGCCCTCGTCCGAGCTTTCCCCAGTCTCCAGGACTGGCCCATACTCCTCCCCAACCTTCTCACTGTCCAACTCTGCTGCAGGCTCCGCTGATGGGCCACAACATCTATTGGGGTTCCAGGTCAACTAGCAGAGCCAATATTTAAGGCCCTTCAGGAAGGCCAGAAGGGTGAAGAGGATCTCACTTCCTGAGGCCAGATGTTCCAAAGAACAGGGACCATGGCAGAAAAGGTTTTTTTCCTAGATCCCAGCAGCTGAAATTCCTCGGCTGACGAGGGTACACAAATCACCCTTTCTGCCATAACAATCTTCCAATCCTACTGGGACAAAATGGTCTGCCTCTCTTTATTATATTGATGATCAGTCAGGAATTGCAAAGACTTTCTTCTTTTTAATTCTCTTAAATTTTTCATAGGAAAAGGAAAACTGATACAACAATTATTGTACAATAAATATTATAGTGAACAAATTAAAACTTGGGGGGAGGGGAGAATACCCATACTGTTAATGTAAAACATTAACTTATTTAACTTATTATGGAATTTCTTCAAGAATAGTTTGTACAGACCTGCAGCTTGATATAACTCAAACTCAAACTCAAAATTATAATATTTAATGACAGATGAGGAAATTGATCTCTAATAGAGCGAATTTGTTCCTTAGTTTCAGTTAAATCCCCAAATAAGTTATTTCAAGGAACTCTCAGGAATCTTTTCAGATAGGAAGCCAAGATTAAACAGCCATTTATATTGGATGTTTAAATTAGAGATCCTCCCAGGAGCAGGAATTTCAACTCAAGGATATAAATTGCTGCTTTGAATTAAATTTGTTATTCTGTTAGTTATGAAAAGTTGTCCAGTGATAAATGACACAGAGAAATGACATTAACACTGTTCACCATGTAAAAATATTTAGTTTAAAAATATGAAATTCAAAAATAATCTGAAAATGAGGCTTCCCTCCCCCCAAAGTGGGGAAAAAAAACTTAGAAATTGAAAACAGATTTTGACAAAGTATTTATTTGTATAGATATAGGCATACCTTTATAACAGACTGTAGAATAATTTTTATTGCATTTATAGCGAAATATATTAAATAGCATATGTATTTCTGGGAGTGAGGAAATGAAACTCCAAGAAAAGTCAGAAATATTCATAAAACTATAGCAGCAGTGCCCCCTGCAGACCACATGGTGAATAGAAAGGTAAAGCAATATTTGAATGTATCTCAGTAGTAGTAGGTAAGATAATGATATTATGTAAAGTTTCTTCTATGTAATCTATTGTATATCACATGAGTTTACAAGAAATCTAATTTGCATGACTTCCTATGTTTTACATATAAAATGCAGGTTATTTTAGAGAAATCTGAGAACAATAAATACAGAATTCCAGAGACATTTAAGTATTATTGCTACATAGACTTCCTTGGATGAATTGTACTGTCACATTGAAGAAGTGGCTGTTCCATTCCATCTGTGACTGAGATCACATATTCTTTTAAGTGATGATTTCAAAATCATAGCTTGTTGAACGATAAAATTGGGAAGCAGTTTATATCAGAATAAATTAAGAATAAACTCAGTTACAAATCAGAGTGGGTTGACATCGGATGTTAGTTGAAAGCCCAAAGAATTTGGATTATATAGTTTAGAATAAAATTCTAATTCATCTTTTTAGGTTTATGAATGTTTGCAACAAAAAAAGATATGGGCAATCACCCAGAAGCAAACTGGTGGCATTTCTCTGAACTCCTAATCTAGTTTTCTACTTGAAGCGCTACCTTCTCTGCTTGTCTTTTCTTTTTCTTTTTACAAGCAGATAGACATCAGAAGTGGGTTGGTCCTCCTTTGGCCCAGTTCGGCTGAACTGGTAGTGGTGATTTGGCCTGGGTCGCAAAACCGGCAGCGACCCAGGCTTGCCATGTACCCAAACGAATTCCCTGGTCTCTTCTGCTGTTGCCGGCATGTTTAACAGTTAACTGCGCATGGGTGAACAATGTACGGTGGGCAGGTGAGCAAAGCGCATGAGAAGCAAACTGGTAGCAACCAGTACAGGAATTCATCCCTGATAGACATACTTCCAATTCATGTTTATTTTATATGATTAACTTGAATTATTCAAATTGTAAACAGCAATGGCTCAAAAAGACATAATGTAACATTTAAAAAAATCCTTAAAAAGACAATACAGGATAAGTGCATAATCATCCTTCTGACTCCAGGATATGGGACAGCATCTGCAAAACTATCAAAAACATTCTTCCAAACACTCAAATAGGTTCAGACGAATACTGTGATCAATGGAATTAAAAATTGTCAAGAGATTAAGAACAACTAGGAAAGTTACATTCTCCTTATCCCACCAGAGATCCTCCACTAGAAAAATCAATGCTGCTTTAAGATTATATCCAGGCGTGACATTCAACTAAAAGGGATCCAGATAATCTGAGTCACCCTGGCCAAATCATCATTTCTATAATTTTTCCCCAAAACAGAAAAGATTGAAGACCAGCCAGAAATTGTCCAACACCATTGAATCTATTGTTGGCTTCCTGTTGGTGCATTGCATGTGCTCATTTCTTCCTTCCTTTTTCAGCTATTCAAGATGGGGGAAAACTAGTTGAATTTCATGGAACTCTGGAGCCATATGGGGATGAGCAAACCAAAGCAAAAAGCTCAGCACTAAAGTTGAAGAAGGCCTGTGGGAAAAGCCACAGCTTGCTTCAAAGGAGACAACAGGAAAGGAAGCAGCAGCTTGGAAAATAGGGTGGGTAGATGAGAAATATACGTGCATATTTCAAATAAGTATTGGAAGCAAGAATCTGTTGCGTTTAGGGACAAAGAAATACAGCACTTAGTGGTTAGAAATATATTGTAGAGAAATATAATAGATTAATATGATAGATGAAGGTGGTCTTTAAACCTATAGTAAAGATAAAGATGGTAAAGAAAATAGATAAGGAAAGTTTAACACTACAAGCATTGATTTAGAAGTACTGAATCTGGTGAAATGTAGTCTGTATTCCCTCCATTCCAGATAGCTCTGAGCAGTGGTGGGTTTCAAAAATCATTGGAACCTACTCTGTGGGTGTGGCCTCCTTTGTGGGAGTGGCTTGCCACCCATGTGACCAAATGGGAGTGGCTTGCCACCCATGTGACTGGATATGAAATTATAAATTAGTACTTAGGTCAGTCCAAGTAGCTATTCAGAAACTCTGGCATTGAAGCATGCAAGTCTTAAAGCTGTCAAGTTACAAGATCCTTGCCAGTGGTGGGTTTCAAAAAATTTTGGAACCTCTTCTGTAGGTGTGGCCTGCTTTCCGGGTCCACTGGTGGAACCTCTTCTAACCGGTTCGGTAGATTTGACAAACCGGTTCTACCGAATAGGTGCGAACTGGTAGGAACCCACCTCTGGCTCTGAGGCTGTGAAGCATGCAATGTTTGGTCAGGAGGAAGGAAAAAGTAGGATAAAAATCCTCTCTAGTGATTCCCAGCATCTATCCCCCACCCCTGGTCTGTGGACAAGCACCAAACAAAGCCATGACAGAAACCAGTCTGTGCAAACAAGCAAAGCCCCATCTGCAAGATGCAGGCAGCATGCAAAACCATGGCATGTCTGGTCCACAGAAAAACCTCTCTCCGCAGAACCAGTTCCTGGTGCCCAATTTGATTGGGGGCCTTTGATCTATAGTGATGCAAATTGTTGCTCTGATTTGGCAAGATTTCTTTCAATGGATAAAGCATAATAAAGGAAACTATGCCAAAGTAACTGCCATGTGTTTTTCTTAGTTTGGGAGGTAGAGACTCAGGTGTAGGATATTAGGACTACTAGATAAAGAGTAGGATTAAGGCATAAGAGTTAAATAATGTGCCAGGAATTATATATTTGGATAATACCATCAAGAAATAGAGAGATTATAATTGCTTTTTATAAAATAAAAAAAATCTTCCATTTCCCAAGTTCCAGGATTTTTGTGTCCCCATCGGTTAATCCACTGCTTAATCCGAAATCCAAAATTTTACCATTTCAAGGAAACAGAGAGTAATCTGAGAATGGATAGATATTCCCCCAACTTCTAACCATTTTGCAAGTGTTCTGGGACAAAGTGATCCAATCTGTGATAGGACCTCAATAACTCACATTAGATTCATGGTTGTCACAGAGACCATGGACTCCACATTTATTTCAAATTCCACATGAAGCAAAGGCAGACTGAAATCTCCCCGTTTTAAAGTTTTTAATTTCTGTTTTTTAATGATCCTGCAATCCCTTGCATTGATGTGGAGTCGGGGCAATTGGAGCTGAGTGTTTATTGGCCGGATGCCCTTCCTGTCATCAATGTGGAGTTCACTGCAGATATATTCTCATTGTACTAGGGAGAGAAATATCTGCCTCTACCCAGGATCGAACAAACTTCATTCTTTAAAGTTTTTAAATCATCCAGGTATATTTTCAATTAAAATAACTGTTTTAAACATTTATGGAATCTTTGGTACTTTCTGATCTCCCTGAACATCCCTGAGATGTTTCATTATCCAACTAGGTAACATTATTAGTGCTAGTAAGTTTGTTCTGAGATTAAGGAGTTTTCCTCATTTCTTTATTGCTAGTTGGTATTAATGGATGTGCTCTGCTAGTCTTTTGTCTGTCCTACTTTGTAGCTGTTACAGTGATTACCTGTATATTGAAAATGACTCCTAGTTTTTTTCTACCAGGGTTTTTTTGTTGTTGTTTCCTTAAGATGTTTGCTTTGAAAACTTTTATTGGACATAAAACTGACTCAATCAATTAAAACAATCTAATTATTCTTGCTCCCAAAAGAACTTGCAAACTTACTACTCTTTGCCAATTAATAATAAATATGGTTGAGGTTCAGGAAAATGAGATTATTCTATGATATTGTATAGTATTGCCAGTTGGAGAACAGGCCAAAGTTAGAGCTTTAAGAAGCAAGTGTATTAATGATTCCTTAAATAAATGACTCAAAAAGGAAAATATCAACTTTATTGAATTTCTCTTCAACTTTATATTCTCTGAATATTGAGATACCCACTTTGGTTCATTTTATTACTGCAACATGATACACAGAAATTATAAAAAAAGAAAGACATAATAAGGCAATTCTTAATATATAACAGCAGGAAAAAATAGCAAATGGAGTATATCTGTTTACTGATTGAAAATTAGCTGAATTTATAAATTATATACCTTTGTTATTATACAGGGATATCAATATATTGTATATCAATATTTGACAAATGTTTTGAGTTATATGGAATATTCTGACATATATGGTATAATAGTTAAAGGTATGATTGTAAATATTGAAATAAGCAACTTTAGAAAGAAATAAAATTCTTCCTGCAAGCTTAATTCAGTGTCATGAGACTCTTAAAGTCTTGGTTTCAGTTAACGTCTACGTCTACGTCTTTGTCTTTGTCTATTAAGATTGTTGCTTCTGTTACGATTGTTCCCTCTGTTTCCAGCATTTTCAAAAAACATGAAATCCTAAAATGTAAAAGAATAAGAAAAGCTTTAGTGAAAAAACTTCAGACTAAAACCCTTGTTTATTCATATTTTATATCTGCTATTCCAAAAAATAGCAACTGAATTAACCTACAAACTCCTGAATGTTTGAGAAGACTGTTGGGATATCTAATAACATCTCCAAGGAAGGAGTGTAGACAGTGCCTCCTCCTCCTCTTATTACCAATCTCAAGAAGTATACCATGTTTGATAGTGTAAAAAGTTACTGACGGACTAAGTAGAACTAGGAATGCATCATTCCTTATCACAGTTTCACCACAGGTTATTCACAAGAGCAGAAAGTGAGATCTTAATACCACAGCTTAGCTTGCAGCTGGACTGAAAAAAGTCCAAATAATGTATTTTATCCAAGGTTTCCACATAAATAAAACCATCACCTTCTCTACATTTTCCCCCCAAAAGGGATTGGAGATTAGTTGATAATTCTCTAAAAGAGTTGAATCAAATGATGTTTTCTTGATGATAGATGAATTGCTACCTCTTTCAGTCACCATCTTCATGCCATTTTCACCTGGCTTCCTTTTACCTTCATGAAATTGTAATCAACCTAAAAGTATATGGATCTAACCCATCTAATAGGTGGTGGAGCTGATGTCATAAAAAGAACTGTCCATTTTTCTTAAGTCAATCAAGATCATATTGTCTCACAAGAGCTTAAAACACACTGTCCTCACACATATACCTCAGCACTCAGTGCATATTGCCTACCAGCTACTATAAGTTGCACAGCAAAATTTCAAGTTAAGTGGATGATCTGAGCTGCTAGGGCTAAACTTGCAGAGGCAAGATTTCTGTTTAAATTAAATCCTACACATACTAAGTTTCAATCTCCTGTCCTACACCTGCTATTGGTAGTGTAGAAGGTTACTACCAATAAAAAAATGGATATGTTGTTTATGGGCTGCTAAGAATTCATTGGGGGGATGCGGTGGCTCAGTGGCTAAGATGCTGAACTTGTCAATCAGAAAGGTCGGCAGTTCATCAGTTCGAATCCCTACACCACGTAACGGAGTGAGCTCCATTGCTTGTCCCAGCTTCTGCCAACCTAACAGTTTGAAAGCATGTAAAAATGCAAGTAGAAAAATAGGAACCACCTTTGGTGGGAAGATAGCAGCATTTTATGTGCCTTTGGCATTTAGTCATGCTGGCCACATGACCAAGGAGACGTCTTTCGACAGCACTGGCTCTGGCTTTGAACTGGAAATGAGCACCGGCCCCTAAAGTCGGGAACGGCTACCACATATGTGCCAGGGGAAAGTTTACCTTTTACTTTAAGAGTTGATTTGTCTTAAATTCCTTTTACTAGATTCATGAACCAATTGTTTCCACAATTCACTGTACTGTAATGTTTTAGGCCTAGGACTTACCATAAGAAAAGAGGCTCCCATTATGACTGCTTTCATATTAATATCAAGGTCCATTGGAAAGTGAATTTGAAAAATGCTTGCATCTGTAGCAACCTCTCTTGCTAAACCAGTCCATTTTTTTACTATGTTTCCAATTGTAGATTTCCCATCTACAGTTTTCACCTGATTTTAAAAAGAACAAGAAAAAAGAAAAAAAAACAGATTTTACCCTTTCTAAAATGTATTAAAAATTTTTAATACAAACATTATGTTTAAGAAAGTATTACATCTTCCTTCCCAGTGTTTAAATTCCCCACATTGATGTCCCAGATAGCATGACAATATCTCAAAGTAGCTGAATTAATTTTTATATTTCCCCACCAATTAAATAAGAAATTTCAATATAAATAAATATGTTCATTGAAAAGCATCATGTTACTTCAAGATGATCAGCACAACTCCTTTATATTTATAAGTATACTATAGTTACACATTTTATGGAGTATTTTAATTATAGTAATAAAAACAAATGCAAACAACTCAGAGAAAGGACAGTAAAAAAATAAAAAGAATAAAGAAATAAAAATTAAAAGAAAGAAAAAAGACTGAGCGAAAGAAACCAAAAAGTAATAAATAAAGAAGTGGCTTCTAATCTTCATCACAAGAATAAACAACTTTGGTAGCTCTTATGAGATTAAAAAAGGTATATTTTCTTCCTATTTCTTATCTATAAGCAAATCTATAAAAATATCAATTTTTCAACACGTGTCAGCAAAAAAATCTACAAAGGTGTGGCCAGAATTCCATAAAAATGCCTTATTTTATCCTTCATTAAATAATTCAATTTTATATTTCTTCCTTCTACTTCTGAAAATCTTAATCTTTAATCCATTCAGTTACTAATATAAGATTTGATTTCTCTTGAATTCTTCTTCATCTTATCACATAGACTTCTTCAAGGCTTTAACAAGTCTCCTTTGTAAATCAAATGGAAAGACATTGTCCAGGTCATTGTTTTAGTTCATCATTTGCATTTCCCTGTTTTTGTATAACAAATAAAAAATCCTTATCTGGACCATTCTCTTGGCTTGCCATTTGTATTTCTACTTTAAGTAACTTCTTTGTCTTTTCCAATATTTCTGATTCTATCATTGGCTCTCTATAAATGCATTCTACATCAAGCAAAATTTATTTCACATCTGCCATTTCTTCATTAACATCCTTCAAACATAATATATCCACTGAAGTAGACATTGTTACTGATATTGTAGATATTATGGCTATTAATTTCTCTCCCCTTGCCCTTTATTTTAAAAAAATGTTATAGTGTTTTGTCATTTTGTAAATCTAATCAAAACAAAAGGCAGGGTTTTTTCCCCCCTTTTGGCCTGTAATATCTTTCAACTGAAATATATTCCTTCATTCTTTCCTTTTTGGGACTACAATTGACAAGTGATAACAGTTATATTTCAAAATAACTCACCAAATTAAGGAAAAAATGATAAAAGATTGAGAAAGCTCGAGAAATTTAAAACTCTTCTCATCACATGAACTGTGAATATTCACATGAATATATTACTTAAAATATTATTTGTTTGTTTTAAATGGTTCCAGAATCATAGTCGCACAACTGGCAAAGTATAACTAACAAATTAGCTCCAAGAAGACAAAGTTAATATTAGAAGGTACTGGTTTAGCCAACATATTTCATATATATTTATGACATAAAAGGATATAAAAGAAGATAAAACGTAGACATGTTGTAAGATTAAGCTTGATAAAAACATGGCATTCCATTAAAAACAAAACTCAGTAATCTCATCTTTAATCTTCAGAATTGTTAATTCTCTCCACAATAAAAATATTCTGGAATAATTATAAATAATAAATTAGTGTATATAGTCCAAGTCTAAGGCATTACTAATAAATAGTAAATGGAGATTGTGTCTACCTCAAAATTAACATCCCGATAGCATTGGCAAGACACACAAGGTGAAGTAATTTTAAGAACATTTTCTCTGGCCTCATTCTGGATAGTAAATTTTGGTAGGCATGGATGCCAGTTTTGTTTCACATACCCAATGATGTTGCCTAGAGGTGCCTGAACTTCAAGCTAAAAGAGAGAGAGAAAGGGGGAATCCCAGTTAATACAAAAGGTAGATTTATAATTTTATCTAGCACGAAGTACACAAGCAAGATTTAATTCTGTCATAGTTAAAATCAGTGTACACTAGTGCTGAAAGTTGAAATAAGAAGACTTGAGGATCTTATTTTGCAAAATTAATAGATAATATATAGAGAACAGAAATATACCTAAGAAGGTAAATCACTTTCTTAGCCTTAAAATATCTTACCATCCTTCTCTTCTAACCCCCCAAAAGGTTCATGAGATCATGAACCTGCAGTAGGAAGACATCTTGTCTTCCAGTGCAATCTAGAGAAGAGAGATGCTGAAACAAATTCTCAATATACACATACAAAATGATCTAAACTTAGATTCCAAAGTAATAAGGAATTGTGCTTGGATATTAATATGGAACCATTTGACTACTTTAGAACTATTTACTCTCAAACCTACATTCATGTATTGCAACTGGAAGGCTAATTTTCCTATAAGGATAAATGTATCTCCTTGGATCAGTCATGTCTACAAAAAAAGTTGTAAGTATAGTAAATTCATCCCAGCCGTTATAATTTTTCAGATCACATAGGGGACCTCTCTCACTTCAATAATATGATAGGAGCTCAAGCATGATACCCATTGTAGCCAAATCTCTTTTTCAGAGCAGGTCAAATCCAGCCTGAGATAACAGCAAACTATTTGTAATTTCTTTAAAAACCCAAAAGGTCTAGATCCAGGATGGCGAACCTATGGCTATGGATCCATTTGTCAGGGCACACAAGGCATTCAGCCTTTTTTAAAGCCATTTTTCGCTCACATTCAATTTTTTGCCCTCAAGTCAATTCCAGTTTGCTTGTAGGGTCGTTTTTAGTCCTCCGGAGGCTTCAGGGAAGCCTCCTGAAGGTCCCTGAAGCCTCTGGAGAGCCTCCGGGGTGGGGGGGGGGTGCGGAGGAGACTGTTTTTGCCCTCCCCAGGCTCCTATAAAGCCTCTGGAGCCTGAGGAGGGTGAAAAAAGCATGCAAAAAAGGAATACCTTTCATGTGCGCATTACATTATGGGTGTGGCAAGCCCACCCACGACCCCCTTGTGCTCCCTCCCTTTATGGCACGTGAGCCAAAAAAGGTTCGCCATCGCTGGTCTAGATGAATAGGACAATGAAATTGTGACTATGCCATTGTGTAATATTTCCTTTGTTTTAGCTTGCCTTTTTTGCTCTAAATCTCACAAATCTCTAGTTTAACATTATAAATGTTAAACTAGAATCTCATAGAATCATAGGGCTGGAAGGGATCTTTGGGGTTTTCTAGTCCAAACGTCTACCAAAGGCAGGAACCCTTATACAGGTAGTCGTCAACTTACAACAGTTTGCTTAGTGATCATTTGAAGTTACAACAGCATTTTAAAAAGTGACCTACGACCATTTTTCACACTTGCAGCATCCCCATGGCACAAGATTTACATTTGGATGTTTGATTGCTGGTTCATATTTATTATGGTTGCAAGGTCCCTGGGCCATATGATTATATTTTGTGATCTTTTGACAAGCAAAGTCAATGGGGAAACCACTTAACAACCATATTACTAATTTAACGACTGCAGTGATTCACTATGACAAGAAAAGCCATAAAATGGTGCAAAACTCACTTAACAAGTTTTTCATCAATTTGGGGCTCAACTATGATCGTAAGTTGAGGACCAGAGAAATGGTTGTCCAATCTTTTCTATGCTCCCTCCCAAAGATTGGCCATGTACTCCATCTCTCAGGCTGGGAGTGAAATTATACGCCCCCCCCCTCAGAAAGGGTTCGCAATTTGGGAGTCCTCCTGGACCCACAGCTGACTTTAGAACACCATCTGTCGGCTGTGACCAGAGGGGCATTTGCCCAGGTTCACCTGGTGCACCAATTGCTACCCTACCTGGACAGGGAGACCCTTCGAATAGTCTCTCACGCCCTTGTGACCTCAAGACTGGACTACTGTAATGCGCTCTACATGGGGCTGCCCTTGAAGAGTATTCAGAGACTTCAGCTTGTCCAGAATGCAGTCGCGCGAGCGATTGTGGGTGCACCTTGGTACACCCACGTTACACCGATCCTCCGCGAGCTGCACTGGCTGCCTATTGGGCTCCGGACATGCTTCAAGGTGCTAGTTGTCACTTTTAAAGCCCTACATGGTATCGGACCTGGGTACCTGAGAGACCGCCTCCTGCCAATTACCTCCCTACGACCGATTAGATTCCACAGATTAGGCCTCCTCCGAATTCCATCTGCCAGCCAGTGCCGACTGGCAAATCCCTGGAGGAGGACCTTCTCTGTGGCTGCTCCGGCCCTCTGGAACGATCTCCTCGTGGAGATCCGGACCCTCACCCACCTCCAGGCTTTCCGCAAAGCCACGAAGACCTGGTTGTTCCGACAGGCCTGGGACTGATGAATTTTCAGCCCCACTTGAAATGTTACGATTGTTTTTGTTTTATTTTGTCTGTCTTGTCTTATTTGTACTCCTTTCCTCCTTTTTGGTTGTGAGCCGCCCCGAGTCTCTCGGGAGTGGGGTGGCATACAAATTAAATAAACATTCCAAACATTCCAAACATTTTTGAAAACTTCCAGTGATGGAGCACTTACAACTCTGGGGAGCAAGCTGTTCCACTGATTAATCATGTTAACTCTCAGGAAATTTCTTCTTTTTTTCCATTTTAGATATCTCCTTATCCATTGCATCTTGTCCTACCCTCAGGTACTATGGAAAATAAATAAATAAATGCCCTCTTCCTTGTGACAGCCTTTCAAGTTTTAGAAGATTGCTATTATGTCTCCTCCAAGCCTTCTCTTTGTTAGATTAAACATACCTAGTTTGCTTAGCTATTCATCATATAATTTAACCTCTAGTCAGCATTATCATCTTTGTTGCTCTATGCTGCACTCTTTCTAAATCCTCAGCATCTTTTTTGTATCAGAGACCAGAACTGGACACAATATTCCAAATATGACCTCACTAGTGCAGTATAGAGTAATTATCTCTTCCTGTGATCTTGATGCTATTTCTCTGTTGGGGCAGTCTGCATTGGCTTTTTTGGCAGTAATAACACACTTCTGATGCACTCAAGGAATTCGATTATCTCACAAGTTTTATTTTAAAAATAGTTTTATTCTTTCTGTGTTATGTTAATATTTGTATGTGTCATATATAGTCTGGTATAACAGGTATCCTTTTGCCTATCAATTGATAAGAGAGTCATGTTTTAAGGCAAAATGGTTGCTTGGAATATGATAAATTTGTGTTCAGGTGGAAATAAACTTAAGAGAGCTGCAACTATCACTTGAAAATCATAATGTAGTTTCAGAACAAAGAAAGGTCCAGCCCTTACACAATAAAAGGATCTGTTTATTACGGATAGAACCATTAGTAGCTGAATTTTATTTTTCCACAAATGAAGGAGGGCACTAATTATTGCTTGGAAACAGAATACTCTTTGTTTTTATGGTATTCTGCAATGTCCTTGCCTCACAATTATTCTCATGAATGAGTATAACATTAGCTACACCTCCTCCCCTTCTGTAATGTCTTTCTTCCTGAAATTTTAATCATCTTTCCTGATGATAAGTTTCTGGAAATTCAAAAGCTTGCAAGTGCTTTTGTAAATATTTGGTCTATCTAGGTGTTAGAAGAATTGGGAAGTCTTCCCAATTGAAACAAAGCTGTAAAATTAATCCTTTGAAATACTCTAAAACATGTAGAGAAAGACACAACTGACTTGCCAAGTTGTTGGAAGTTGCACTATAAGGAAATCACAACGGCTTGTCTCTTGATGATAAAGAAACCGATTTAATAGAAAGAATCAAAAGTTGGGCATAGGAAGGTGAAAAGGTTTTTACCTCTTGCAGGCAACAAATACAAGGACAGCAGCAACTGGAGCAATGGAACTCTCTTGACAATTGCATTACTGGTTGGTTTGTACTGTCAAAGAGTTTTATGGTAAACGATCTCAAAGGGCCATAACAATTCAGGTTGTAGTCATCATTTTCTTCAGCAGCAAAATATATCCAATGCCCCATGGCATTTTTTACTTCATACTTATTACACGTTTCAAAGCCACTTATCACTGAAAAAGAAGCAAAAACATTACAATTAAAAGTGAATCTAGGTGCTTATCATTAATAGGAACCGAGAAAAAAGAGAAACTAGATTCAGATTCTAATATTCAATTATATAACACATGAATACAATATAACAACATCCAATTTCATCTGCCAGTTCCAACTGGTCAAGGAAGGAAAGTATTTTGTGGATCCCATGAGTCAAAAAATTCTGACTTTGGGGGGGGGTTTCCAGGAAGATAGCCTTCTCTGCCATTTTCTCTGCCTCTTCTCTGTCAAGGTTCCAACTAACATCCCTAATGAAAGAAGACTCCAAGGCTTGATTTTCCTCAAAGTTCCATTTGATTATAAATGTCATATTGGCACATCTGGGAAAACCCAAATCTGAAAGTTTCTAGGGTTTCCCCACCCAAATGAAAGTTTGAGTTCCTGCCCAGCACCCACATGTCCATCATATGATCCAATCATGCACCATCCAAAATTGAAGATGTTACCTTGTCACAGCTGCAGGGCAAAATGGCCTTGATTTTCTGAGAAAGAATGTTATTTTGATTATGCATCACCCACACAAATAATCACCCCTCCCATTTTCCCACAGTAGAAAATGTGAAGCCCAAATGTAAAAGATGGCTTCCAGATCTGACATTTGTCTCATCCGCTGGAACATTTCTCCCCACTGAGGTACGAGGCAGGCTCCCACTTTCCTGGCCTTTCGAAAAGATGTGAAAACATGATTCTGTGGGTTTGCTTGGACACAGAGAGGAACATGCACCCATGGGGCTGGGTAGTGCCCTAAAAGTCTTTCCCCTGCTTTTCACTTAATTTTATTATTGAATTTTAATCTCTCTTGTCTTTTTAAAAATTTTATATACCATTTTTATGTTTAATGTTTTTATTTTATACACTGCTCAGAATCCCTTGGGGATAGAGATGCGTGGTTTAGAAATTTAATAAATGAAAATAAATTGCCATGTTGATTGTCACATACTTACTGCTCTCCCCCAGCATCTTAACAAGTTTTTATTCACACATTTATTTTTATTTATTTATCACATTTTTATAGTCTCCATCACATTTGCATGACTCTGGGATATTTATAAATGAACTTTAAAAGAACAAAAAACAATTTTACCATACACTCTTCCCCAATTTGATGCCCAAATAATTGTAAGACCCCAAATAATTTATTGGCTAAGTATCATTGTAGATCATCTACAGAGTGCACAGTCGGTAAATAATATCAATGAATAAATATTTCAGGTTTACAAAACTGTACATTTTCCTAATCCCCAGAAATTAATGAAGTAATAAAACAACATACGTACTTTCCATGAGCTCAATCTGCTGTTCAACTGTTATCTGATCAAGCTGTTGCCATCATAAAAAATAAATAAGAGACAAGAATTAAATCTGAAGAAATATTTACAAACATTAAATGACCGATTATCCTATGACTATAAATATTTTCAAAAGCATAAATAACACTGCCATTTTATTGGTATTATTTATTTGGATTACATAATACATGGATGATGAAACATGTCAGCATATTTCTGGATTATCTAGTTGCTGTTTCATATTTGTTATATTTAAATAAATTCTTGAAGGTATGTATCAAAAAATATGCAAAACTGCATGCATTCATGGAAGAGAAGTTAGAACTTGGGTAACAGAACCTGGTATCTCTGACTTCCAGTGCTTGTCCTGAGCATGATTTAACTTATCCTCTGAATTTTCTACAATGCATCATCAAAAGAATTCTGAGCACTGTGGGCCATTTAAACAATAATTATTGTGCCAGGAGATAATCCACCAATCTTTGTTAAAAGAGATTGTTTTTCCAGGTCTGCTGTCAATTGGAAATGCTCTTCCACTGCACACAGGTTTCAACTGCTAGTTGCTCCTGTTGCAACTGCCTGTTTAACTGAGTAGGCAAAGTGATCATGTGTACGTACTTAGAAATGTTACTACTCATTAATATTATTTATTTTTATTGCCCAGAGATACAAAAACAACAATTTTCAATATAAAAGCAATCCATTACAGATTTCTTTTTAAGTAAAGTGCCATTATCTGCCAAGCCCAAATGTGCTTTTGTCTGGAGAGGCATTTTACTCACAAAATCCATCAGCATCTGCAAAATATTGCTTGAACCTCAGAGGATTGGGATATACTTAATGTTTTAAAGAAAGTAGCTGGACAATTTAACAGAAAAAATGTATTTTAAAAAAAATTGAAAAGAGCACAGCAAAAATACTTGATGGAGAAGATTCTTTCAGAGTGAATACAGATAGTCTTTTGATCTATGACCAAATTTGAGCGCAAAATTTCTGATGTTGCTAAGTAAAGCATTTGTTAAGTGAGTTTTGTCCCATTTTACAACCTTTCTTGCCACTGTTGTTAAATGAATCCCACCACTTATTAAGTTAGGGACATGGTTGTTAAGTGAATTTGGCTTCCCCACTGATTTTGTCAGAATTTTGAAAAAGGTGATCACATCATCTCTGGATACTTCCCCTGTCATAAACGTGAGTCAGTTGCCAATCATCTGAATTTTGATCATGTGACCATGGTGAAAAATGGTCGTAAGTCCCTTTTTTCAGTGCTGTTGTAACTTCAAACGATCACTAAACAAACTGTTGTTTGTTGAAGACTACCTATATGCTCCCTAGTTCAAAAATTAAGTTTCACAATTTACTGGTGACTAAGACATTTGTGGGATCCCATGTTTCTCTACAAAGGAAAAACAGAATAAACTGAAAATAAGTGCAATATACCTGACTGAAATATTCCAATCCACGAGGGCACTTGGGGATCTGAGGTTGTGGTGGCATCCAGATGATGGGTGGAGGTGGATTTGCTAGAACTAAGAAAATTAAAGAGGATTAAAAAAAAATAACCTCAGATAACTATTTTGAATTTCAGACTGCTGAAAGCCTTATTCTAAAGACCTGTAGTATCTGGATATACTTTGGCAGGGTCATTTCATAAGTATCAATGAAGCACAGTATAATTCTACATTATATAAGGTATTGTTCATGCCAAGTTAACAATAAAATTAAAACCAACTGCACTACTGGGAAAATATGAAGCATTCAAACTTTTATTTCAACAAAGGGCAAAATATCCACTAGAGGGTGTAAAGGACTTGGTTGATGAAATTTGAAATAAAATTTCAACAGACCTGCAACTAATATTTTCAAAAATACCTTATTGTTATAATTCTATACAATACAATAGCAGAGTTGGAAGGGACCTTGGAGGTCTTCTAGTCCAACCCCCTCCCTAGGCAGGAAACCCTATACCGTTTCAGACAAATGGCTATCCAACATCTTCTTAAAGACTTCCAGTGTTGAGGCATTCAAAACTTCTGGAGGCAAGCTGTTCCACTGATTAATTGTTCTAATTGTCAGGAAATTTCTCCTCAGTTCTAAATTGCTTCTCTACTTGATTAGTTTCCACCCATTGCTTCTTGTTCTACCCTCAGGTGGCTTGGAGAATAGATTGACTCCCTCTTCTTTGTGGCAGCCCCTGAGATATTGGAACACTGCTATCATATGTCCCCTAGTCCTCCTTTTCATTAAACTAGATGTGCCCAGTTGCTGCAACCGTTCCTCATATGTTTTAGTCTCCAGTCCCCTAATCATCTTTGTTGTCTTCTCTACACTCTTTCTAGAGTCTCCACATCTTTTTTTACATCGTGAAGACCAAAACTGAATGCAGTATTCCAAGTGGCCTTACCAAGGAATTATAAAGTGATATTAACACTTCACGTGATCTTAATTCTATCCCTCTGTTTATGTAGCCTAGGACTGTGTTGGCTTTTTTGGCAGCTGCTGCACACTGCTGGTTCATATTTAAATGGTTGTCCACTAGGATTCCAAGATCCCTCCCACATTACTACTATTGAGCAAAGTACTACCTAGACTGTACTTGTGCATTTTGTTTTTGTTGCCTAAATGTAGAACCTTACTCTTTTCACCATTGAATTTCATTTTATTAGATAGTGCCCAACGTTCAAGTTTGTCAAGATCCTTCTGTATCTTAAGCCTATCTTCTGGAGTGTTGGCTATTCCTGCCAGCTTGGTGTCATCTGCAAATTTGATGAGTTCCCCATTTATTCCCTCATCATTGATGCAAATGTTGAAGAGCACTGGGCCCAAAACAGAGCCTTGGGGTACTCCACTGCATACTTCCCTCCATGAAGATGCAGTTCCATTGAGGACTACACGTTGAGTGTGGTTGGTCAGCCAGTTACAAATCCATTTGGTGGTGATGCTGTCTAACCCACATTTTTCTACTTTATCTAGTAGTAGGTTATGGTCTACTCTATCAAATGCCTTACTGAAGTCCAAGTAAATTATATTGACAAAATTCCTCTGGTCCACTAATTTTGTCAAAGAATGCAATATGATTAGTCTGGCATGATCTGTTTTTGACAAATCCATGTTGACTTTTGGCTATTACTTTGTTTACTTCTAGGTGTTCGCTAATTTGTTCTTGATTATCTTTTCCAGAATCTTTCCTGGTATTGAGGTCAGGCTGATAGGTGTATAGTTTCCTGGATCTATTTTTTTCTCTTTTTTGAAGATGGGAACCACATCAGCTCTTTTCCATTCCTCTGGTAGTTCCCCGGTGCTCCAGGATCTCTGAAAGATATAGTTCAGTGGTTCTGAGATCTCGTCTGCCAGTTCCTTCAGAACCCTGGGATGTAATCCATCCGGTCCTGGTGATCTGAACTCGTCTAGGGTAGACAGGTGCTCACTTACCATTTTCTTCCCTATTTCAACTTGTGTTCCTAATCTAATTTTTGTGGTGATGTTTTTGATAGGTTGGACTGTTTTTTCCCTTTGTATAAAGACAGCTGCAAAACATGAGTTAAATAGTTCTGCTTTCTCCCTGTTTCTTGTCACCTTCTTGCCACTTTCTCCCAGCAATGGGCCAATTGTTTCCTTAACTTTTTTCTTGTTTTTAACATGTTGGAAGAAGCTTTTTTTTTTTTTTAACTTTTATGGCAAGCCTTTCTTTGTGAGCCTTAGCTTTCCTCAATTCATGTTGTCATATGTACTGGAGATCTCCAAAAGATTGAACTCTTTAGGGTTTAAATTATATGCCATTAAGTTGAGTTCAATTCCTAGTGACTTCACAAACATAACCATGTCATTTACTTGACAGCAATATCACAGTGGTTTCCTATTGACTTTTTCCGTGTTAGTTTTACTGTTTCTGTTTCTCCTTTCTCGTCTAGCATGCAATTCTGATATTCCCATGTACAGTAGTGTCCCATTCACTACTAACTAGGCATGACTCTGCTTCAAGTGCAAATGAAATCAGCCAGGTAATGGCACCAGCTGGAACATTTGAAAATCACTCAGAGTTTAATTAATAGAGATGTGCGATGCTTTGGCTTCAATTCCCAAAAGATGTTTTGGAGTGTGAACATAGCACCTGTCTGTAATGCCTTAAAGCAATTACGTCTTTTACTAGGATCACAATTCAGCTGTTTTACAGAGATGCAGACAAATATCGTCATTGTACTCCTGTGTCTTTCAACACACCGTTCTATGATCCAGTTCAAAGCATTGCATGGTCCTACTGTGCACACATTCAAAATGTTGTCAGAAGCACCTCTCTAAGCCAACCTTGTTATGCAATTGCATTGAAACTATTCCTGTGCACAATGTATCTGGAGATAGTATTCTGCATAAGTACTATCTTTGCATGCACACAGAACAGCAAAGAAGCAATTGTTTGAATGCTTTAAAAGGAGGAGCTATCGCAAACTAATACTTTGCATAGTCCCCAATAAGTGATCATGTTATTTTTTTTCTGAAAGTTGTTTAGTAGAGAAAGGATTTTTGAAGTGCAGATTGACAAACATGTACTCTTTTTATCCGTTTCTTAAAGTTCCTGGGCTCACAGAGTAGCTGCCCAATTCCAGGCAAAGTGCATTTGAGATGAGGCTCTTACCATGGACCCTCTCATTCTCTGTTTGTGTCTCCTTAACTCAAAACTCTCATTTTCCTAGGACCATATGGCTTCTTTAAGTAGGGCTCTATAGGGGTAACATCTGTGTCTACGCCTGCTCCAAAGTTCTGAAAAGCAGTTCACCTCCTATTATTTGTGACCATAAATTTTAAGCAAGAAGGTTTATTACATCCTGGGATGGAGACTAGTCACTCTTTATGTTTAAAACTGTAGCATGGATCTGTCAGGTAAAAAGTGTCTTTACATTTCTGAACAGATCAAGGGTCTGGCTAGGGCTTCCTAGATGTTAGAAGTTGGTGGAATGTTTGGGAATATGTGATGGGTTTACCACCTGGTTCTTCTTTTTAATTTGTCCCACTTTGGATTTGTTGCTTGTTACTTATTATAATGTTTCTATATGGTGGCCAGCATCAGACATATCAAATTGAATCACATAAATGATTTTCCCAAAGCTACTAGGAAACATAACTAAATAACAAAAACATCAATTAACCTGAGTCTTTTAGAGCAAGAATTGTCTCAGTTTATGGTCTTAAGGGATTGAAGTGAGTGTAAAATGACTATAGGAAAAGCATGGAAGAAGAAATGTCTGTTTATTTTATATAAACTGCACTCTGTATGCCCTGATCATCTACATCAACTACAATAGAATAAGACACTATAGCAATAGCACTTGGACTTATATTCTGCTCCATAGTGCTTTGTGGCACTCTCTGAGAGATTTACAATGTCAGCATATTGAGCCCAACAATCTGGGTCTTCATTTTACCAACTTCAGAAGGATGGAAGGCTAAGTCAACCTTGAGCTGATCAGGATCTAACTCCTGGCTGTGGATACAGTCAGGCTACAATACTGCATTCTAACCACTACAGCAAAAGGGCTCCTATACAACCTTAGTGACCTTCCTAGAATAGCTCAGATCGCTACAATGTTTTTTGTTTTTTTGAAATATGATCACAGCCTGTAAATTTACACACTGTAGGATAAATAATATACAATAGTACAATACCAGAATTCTTTCAATCACTTACAATTTTGTGGGTTTTTCTTTTACTTATTTGAAATAGAAACTGTTTTGTTACTTTATTTCTGCTGACTCACCAAATTCTTATCAGTGACTACCGTATTTTCCCGAAAATAAGACAGGGTCTTATTTTCTTTTGATCCCTGAAATAAGCACTTGGCCTTATTCTTGGGGAGGTCTTATTATTTTTGAAGTGCAGGAAGCAGCGAGCGTGGTCACCTCACGGCTGCTGTTGTGTTGCAAGATTTTTTGGGAGGGCTTATTTTCAAGGGAGGGCTTATTTTAGCGCATGCGCTCAAAGCTCAATTGGGCTTATTATCCAGGAGGACTTATTTTCAAGGAAACAGGGTATAATAAAGATTATTATTACCTGGAATGGCTGCTCCATACTGAGGATATTGAACCTGTGGAAGTGAATAAGCTGGGCCTGAATATTCTGGAGGTGCTGATGTGGGCTTAGTTTCATTTGCTAGAAGAGAAAGGCATGCATGTAGGCAGTATTAAATATACAACTTGCATAAATTACATAACTAAATTGCATTTTATGCCCAGTTTTCCTGAATTTTGCCAGTGTTTTAAGGGTTATTTTGAATGAATCAATTCATGAATATATAGAAATGAAATCAAAATGTATGCATTACATGACCAAATGTGTAAAGTAAAATGAAAATGTTTATTAGTGAATTTTTTTGTATATAAATAGTTCTTTTAAACATGCTAATCTATTGCATTATTCATACAGCTACTCCTTGTTCAACTGTGGCAAATTGGACTATCAATTCCTTTGTTAAATGATACCCACATAAAGCACAATGTCACATGATTGTGCCAAGTTACAATGGCAGTTGCAGCAGTTCCAGTTGGTGTTAAGACAAATCCTTCATGGACACAACATCCTACAGTCATAAGATTGCCACTTGCAACCCATCTGCTGCCTTTTCCATTGACTTTGCTTCTTGGAAGCTGGGACTGACTTAAAAAAATGGTGACTGTGTGACTGTGGGATGCTATGATATTTTAAATGGTTGCCAAGCAAACAAATTGTGATCATATTACATTCATGCTTAAACTATACATAGAGACAGATAGACAGACATAGATATAGTTATCTATCATTATCTGTCTTCTTCTTTCTTTCCTTCTTTCTTTCTTTCTTTCTGGTTCATTTTTCCCTTTTTTTCAATTCAAAATCTGTTTGTTCACTGAGTGGCAAAAGGAGACTGTTTCATCTCAGGTAACAAAGTTATCTTTCCAGTCTAGAAACTGTACCCAGCTTCTGCAGACATCCCTGGTTTTTACTAAACAAATAAGATGATTTATATTCATTTGTAAACTTGAGCACTTCCCATACCATTCTCTCACAGATATACAGATACATGTATGTTACTTACACATTTCCATCATCTTTTATTTTGTCTTATCTGAAAAAACAAGACATTCCTTTTATAATATGAACACATTGTTTTGGATGCTTCAGTTTGCTTTTTGAGTTCATAGATAAAACTAAAGAGAGTGGGTTGACCAAATTTTATCAAGAAATCAGTGTAGGCTTTCAAAAGATCCAAGAAATCTGTAAATAAAATCAAATATGACATTTGAAAAAAATTCTAATGTGATATATATGGACAATACTACATTGTAACATATATATTTGAAGAAAAAGTACATTTACAGTACAATCTTCTGGGCTCCAAATGTTATACTTCCATAGTAAATCCAACAGTCTATTTCATGTTTCCTTGGATTTCACCACATCCTATTGGTTCAAAATGATTTTTCTTGAAAAAATTTTTGATAACTTTCTGTATGCATGTTCCAACTATAATTCCATTACGGAGTGATTTTCTAATCTAACAAAATCATATATTCTTATTTCTCACTAAAATTGGATTTTTCTTCCAGTTATTCTTATAGAATAACAATAAACTGCAGTAATGTACTATTGGTTCTTACACATGAAAGCTGGTTTTTGAAGTTCTGTTAATTTTAAAATGTGTTTGTGTTTCAAGAAATGTGCTCTGTGTTTCAAGAAATTCTTCTGAATTTCAAAGAAGTACTTTTATTTTATTTTGTTCCAAATTATAACATTTACAAGACAATATTTAGATCATAATTTTAAAAAGGGCATATCTTTCAGCCAGTGTAATATGATACAGAGATATTTACTATCTGCAGGGTCATATTCTCTTTTTAAAAAAGAAAGCAAAATACATAACATATTTAAGAACTTAAGTCTGAATAATGTTCTTTTTCCTGTGCATGCTTAGAAGTATCATTTAACTTGAAACCTTTCATTCTTTTGAAAGTCATGAAGAGTCACTTAAATGTTAATACCATTTTATAATGCCTTGGTAAAGCCAAACTTGGAATACTGCATTCAGTTTTGGGCGCCACAATGTAAAAAAGATGTGGAGACTCTAGAAAGAGTGCAGAGATGAGCAACAAAGATGATTAGGAAGAAGTTATCCGAAAAATAATGGGCTGTGCTGAAATGAGTAAATTGACACTTGAAATTAGAGAACAAGAGGATGAGCAATTTTATAAGATATGGGATTTGTTTTATCGGTGGCTAGGGGGAAAAAAAACCTGGGAAATGAAAAATGATATACTTATGCTCTAATTGAAGAAGTTGAATGATGATATAACTATGCTGTGAAATAATCTAACAATGATACAATGAAAAATTAATATAAGGNACTAACAGAGATACAAAAGTGGGCGGTAGGTATAAAAAGGTTGACAACCCCTGGTTTAGAGCCTCACAATCCACAGACATTCACAAGATTTCACTTTGTTTGCTTGCTTTTACAATTTTATGTGGCTTTTTAGGTGTGCTGCAAAGTACAGGTAGTCCTCAACTTACCACAGTTCATTAAATGATGATTGTTAGAGTGACACTGAAAAAAATGACTTGTGACTGTTTTTCACATTTATGACTGTTGCAGCACCCTCACAATCACATAATCAAAATTCAGATACCTGGCAACTGACTCATATTTATGACAGTTGCAGCATCGCTGGGGCATATTATCACTTTCTGTGATCATTTGACAAGCAATGTTAATGGAGAAACTAGATTTATTGAACAACAATGTTACTAATTTAACAACTGGAATTATTAACAACTGTAGAAAGGAAGGTCTAACATGGGGCAAAACTCACTTAGCAAATATCTGACATCAGAAACTTTGGGCTAAGTTTTGATCATAAATCGAGGACTACCTGTATAAGATTATAATTTTTAAGAGAAAAAAAGAACCATCTAAATCACTAGTGTCAAACTCGCAGTGTCACATTGCCATCAGGTGATATTTTGAGACCTGGCCTGTGTGTGATACTCGCCATCTTCAGGCTGGTGTTTTTGCATCGTGTTTGTGTGAATAAAGCGTGGTCGGAGCTCCCATCTTTCTATAAATCTTGGTGGGGAGGTGTGGAGTGCTGGCTTTGTTTCAGTAAGTGGATTGATTGGCTGTGTGGCTGTATCGTGATTGGTAGATTGGTGCTGATTGGTGCTCGCTGTGTGTCCGTTTTGTGTTTTAATGGCCTGGGTGATGGGTGGGGGTTGTTTGTTGACTAGGGCTGGTTTCCAGATGTCTGGCAGGTGGGAGGTATCGTCACGTTTATTCATGTTGTGGCAGTGTTTCTCTATTTCGATAGCTTCCATAATTATTCTCTTGTTGAAGTCTTCAGTTTTGGAGATTAATTTGGTTTCTTCATAATTAATTTCATGTCCTGTAGCTTTAAGGTGCTGGAAAAGG